GACAAGAACGGGTATTGTTTTGGTTTAAGGACGACTTTGATGAACGGTTTTGATCCACTTCAAATGTTGACTACTGTATATATATATATATATATATATATATATATATATATATATTATATATCAACAAACATCCATTACATTTCTCTGAAGAGATGTTTTTGTCACTGAAACAAACAGGAACTGAACAGTGTCTGTGTACCTGTTGAAACGGTAGATCTCATGGATATTTCCAAATAAAGAACTCCTCTCTTCATCTCCCAACAGCAGAAGAGACTGATTGCTGATGCACTCCAGGTAATCCTGTAGAGAAACAGATGAAAGGATGAATAATCTCATCAGCAGCATCATGTGAGACGGGCCGCCCGTCAGGGTGTGCCGTATTTGGACAGACAGATCTGCTGCTTTCAACTCTCACACCTTACATTAACATTTCCACGTCGGCAGATTAGCTCCAGTATGTCCGCTTATGTCTGTTATGTAAAGTACTCATGGAGTGACACTTTGAAGCATCAAAAGAATGGTATTTACCATAACCAGGATGCAAACTGGGGGTAATATTTGTGGGTACAAAATAAAGTTTTCTGTGATATTCTGCCGTTCTGTTTGGTGCTGCAGGAATAAAAAAACTTCACAATGAGCTTTTCATGCTCTAGTTCTGTAGAAACATACCGATGTGCTGGTGTTTTAAAGAGCACAGAAACTGAAACACTGTAAGAGTGCAACAGTGAAGGTATACTGAGGTAACAAACACTATATAGCAGAATCTCTATCAGCTGACACATATCAATCATCTAAAACCTGTCGAAAACAACGTAAAGAAGTGATTTCAAGTACAGACAAAGTGCAATAAAGCGATGTTGTGATCTATAAAGGGCTCCAGCTTTGTGACCCCAACAGACCCCAAGAGCTACTGGAAACTGGGGGACGCTCTTTCACATGAATAACCTTTAAAGGCCATGACCTTTTCTCCCTGTATATGTGGTCTAGTCTGCCTTTGGGTCAAATGATAGCAGTAGTTTGAGTCCTGCTGTGGTTGCACCTGAGGCCACAAGCATCCCATAAACTCCAGTCAGATTATCCAGATTGTCTCAGTTGATATGAAGTGTCACAGTGAACTTTTGAGGGTCTTCTTCAAAGTCAGTTTCTTCAAGTAACTCCATATGACTATGGTCTTTTTAATGCATGAAATAATCAACTAAAACAATTTAAAAACATTTTTATATTTTGAATTAGATTTTACTTTATACTTTAAGTTTGAATTTGAATTTTAGTTGAAGCTTTAGCATAAGTAAATGAAGTAAAATTACAATATAATGGCTTTTTGGGATTTATACGGTGGGAGATTACTGCTACACTATTATTTCTAAAAGAAAATATTCTTAAAATATCTAAAATGCAAGGTCTTTTTGAGAAACAAATTACAGATCAGCAGGAACCACCAACTAACAGTGCGTTATGGCCAAGTGGCTTATTTACAACCTTGAGCTCACAAATATATTGTTACTAAGAGACAATAAATGTAAAGCGAGAATATGTTGCCTTCATGTACACTCTTAAAAATAAAGGTGCTTCAAAAGGTTCTTCAAGCGATGCCATAGAAGAACCATTTTTGGTTCCACAAAGAAGCATTCAGTCAAAGGTTCTTTAAAGAACCATCTCTTTCTTAGCTTTTTATAATCTGAAGAACCTTCTTTCGCCACAAAGAAGCTTTTGTGAAACAGAAAGGTTCTTCAGATGTTAAAGGGTCTTTATGGAACCATTTAGACAAAAAGGTTCTTCTATGGCATCGTGAAGCACCTTTATTTTTAAGAGTGTATTCAACAGTCTCAAGTGTTAACAAAAAAGTGTTTTCCTAAACCTCTTTCCTCTCCTTTATCTGTCCTCTCCATCCATCCTGCCTGCTTTCCTTTTCTTCCATTCTCTCCTCAGAGCATCTATCATTCTCTCAGAGCCGGGGGGCTGTGAATGTGTCTGTATGGAGGAGTAGGTGGGGAGGGGGGCTGCGACCCCCTTAAACTCTGTCCCCACATTAACCGAGAAAGAGTGAGAAAATCAGGGCAAGGGTGAGAGGAAGAGTTTAGCATTCATCTCCTCGCTCGCTATAGGTCAAATGACAGCCATGTGCACTTTACATCTGACAGCTACATAAATCATACACAAAGAAACGCACACACTTACTCAAAGAGCGTCAGTAGTTGGAGTGTCGTGGTTTGTGGGGAGTGGTGGTGGTTAAGCACAAAGGTTCAAGGTTTGAGCTCAAGAATGGGAAAGCCATACACTGGACACTCTACCATTTGTTACCTTGAGCAAAGCACTTCACTCAAAAATAAACATTATGTCATAACTTACTATCCTGTCATTCAAAAACCTGACTTTTTCCATGGAAACAAAAAGGAAATGTTCTGAAGAAAGTTATATGTTGAACCAGATGCTATCAAGATCTATAATGATGTAAAAACAAACATAAAAGTAGTCCTTATGTCTTATGTTTTATAATACACCGGGGCTGAATTTTTATATACATCAGGTTTGATGTACTTCATTGATTATTGCATTTACAATCACAACACTGCAAGGTTTCTCACATGAAGTTATCATGACGTTAGAAAACGTAGCACGTTATATGGTCTACTGTACTTTTCTAATACTTCTTTTTTGTACTTTTCGCAGCTTGACAGTATGAATAACCATACACTTGCAATGTATGGAAAGAACAGCTCGAACATTCTTTAAAAGCGGTGTTCTTTGAAACATAGCAATGAATAAATGATTATTCAACTTTTCAACAATGTCAAGTCATGATGAAAATGTTTGTTAATGAAGGGATTTTGATTTCATGATAATGAAGCAAAAGAAAAAAAGCACATTATGGCAGTACATTTAATTAAACCATACTGTTGATGAAAATATGACAAGAAAAAAAACAACATCCAATGCTAGATATTAACAATGCACTAGCAATATTGTTTTTTGAGATATTCCCAACAAAGACCATTTTTATATACAATGTTAAAATATTGGGATGAATTTAACAATTTCTCACCAAAACCTATATTTTAGTCTGACGTTAGTCTAAAATAAGATGCCATTTTAGTCACATATTGACTAAAAGTAACTGACTAAACTCAAAATACAAAAACTGATTAAAAACAACACATTAAAATAAAATATAAAATGAAAACGGTCAATAACTGTCAATAAAAACTGGGAACTATTCCTTTAACTTTGGTTTGTTGTGATTAGTTTCCTTGAGTAAGCAATCTGCTGTAAGTCACCATCGGTAAGTGACCGCACATGCTTTGTGTCTTTCTCACCTGGACTATACTGCGAAGGTCCTGGACGTAGGTTTTTTCCGTTTCAAGAATTTCCTCCACCACTCGGTCCACATACTGGACTTTACGTCCTTCCGGCGACTGAATATCTGCATGGCTCTGATTGGTCGGTGTAGGTGTTTGTCGCCCCGTCTCCTCCTCCTCTAGCTGTTGGGCAGGCACCAGCTCCAGTCGGATGGCTCCAGAATCATGATCCCTCTCGGGGGCAGAGCCTAATACTGGCCGCCCCCCCAGCGAGCAGTGGCTGTCACGAGAGGAGGCGGATGAAGACGTGGAGCCATAGCTCACCGGCCGCTCGTTGCAGTGCGTGGAGTCCATGCTGCGTGAGGAGCAATATCTCAGAGCAGAGTTTCTGATGGGACCCGCTGGGCTTAGGACCGGCCCTCCAGCAGGGACCTCTGGGAGTGGCGGTAAAACATCAGTGGAGAATGGATAATCTTCTGAAAGATAAAAAGTGGTTAGACATTAGGGCTGCACGATATTGAAGAAAACTGCAATACGCCATAACTTGGTAAATACTGCAATATGCAAAATCAGTTTCAATTATATTTAAATGAATTGAAAAACAAAACAAAAAATGATGCAACCAACATATGTTTCACATTCTGTGTGGGAATAGAAAGCATCACAAACAACTTCTGAAAGCAAACAGCAGTGTTTTACTGTTGCATTACATAAAGCATCATTTTAATATCAATGTTTAAAAAAAATTAAACACTACCAACTCTTTGCTCAACTTGGTAATAAATTTGTTTGCAAGCTTGTTTATTGCTCTACCTCCCTCTAGTGCCTTTCCTCAGATGCTTGCTTACTGACTATAGTTCACTATAGTGGTGGAAGTTGTGGCCTAATGGTTAGAGAGTCGGACTTAACTCAAAGGTTGTGGGTTCGAGTCTCGTACCAGCAGGGATTGTAGGTGGGGGGAGTGAATATACAGCGCTCTCTCCCACCTTCAATACCACGACTGAGGTGCCCTTGAGCAAGGCACCGAACCCCCAACTGCTCCCCGGCCGCCGCAGCAAAAAGATGGCAGCCCACTGCTCTGGGTGTGTGTTCACTGCTGTGTATGTGCACTTTGGATGGGTAAATGCAGAGCACTAATTCCGAGTATGGATCACCATACTTGGCCACATGTCACGTCACTTTTTGTCACTATGAGAGCGTCACGACAATTATTTGATAATTATAATAATTATCGCAACCCGATGCAATATGCATATTGGGATTTGAACATTTGAGGTATTTTGATAAATGTCAACATGGCATGCAGCCCTATTAGAAACTGTAAACTGTAACCCCCCCACCCCCCCATAAGTCAATAGCACTGGCAACTGTTTGGTTTTTGGGTGAACTTTCCCTTTAAATGGACTCTTGATTCATGTTGAACACAATATTATAACCAAAACTCCCACCCACTGCAATTATAAATTTGATTCCTACAGACTTAGATCTCGAGGGGGAACTTACACACAAAAACATCATGAGAAACCCACAGCAATCTTTAGCATTCCTGTGTGGTGATCGCCACACACACACACACACACACACACACACACACACACACACACACACACACACACACACACACACACACACACACACACATAAAAACACTTTCTCGTCT